AATGTGAGACGTGTAAAGTGTAACTATGAGTATTGAAATACGAGCTCCTGCATGTGGCAGAGGCCTTACTGGAGGCACTGGCTGGACCGCAGTTGATGATGGCTGGTTAGTTAAGTTGACACCGCTAACTAGTAAGTTAGCGAGGTGGTTGGCTGCTCATTCTTATTGCCAATGGGATAGCTAACGTGTTCACTATTATCCTCCAAAGACATTGTAATACACGTTGAAGACTATGTGCTGGACTCCATAGCATTGTTTGTGCATTTCCTTTCTTGGTGCCAGGGATTAGCAGACTCGGCTAGTTAACAAGCTTCTAAAAGAGAAATCGACTACGCTAACTATTGCCACCAACTCACACCAAATGTTCTCCCAACAGCCTGCCAAGATGCAGATCTTCGTGAAGACGTTGACGGGGAAAACCATAACCCTTGAGGTTGAGCCCAGCGATACTATTGAAAATGTCAAGGCCAAGATCCAGGATAAGGAAGGTATGGTATTTTAAGTTTCATTGTATACATTTGTCATACTGTATGGCTGTTTTATTTACTTAGGGGAGATGGATTTTACACTTTGATACTATATGCTGTAGTGATTTCATTATAGTGGATCATATCAATATGCTTTATATTCTCAGGTATTCCTCCTGACCAGCAGCGTCTAATCTTCGCTGGCAAACAGCTTGAAGATGGTCGCACCTTGTCAGACTACAATATCCAGAAAGGTGAGCGAATGAGTTAATATGAGAGCATGTAACGCTGCTCATAGTTGTGAGTTAGCCCTGTGTGAAAAGGTACCTGCGTGCGCCGGAACTTTAGCAGCTAGTATTTTTATTACCTGCTTCGGGCTGGATGTGTCAATGTGTAGTTCATACATGCATAATCTATGAGCAGAATTACTGTTTTACCTCAATTAGCCACAAAATCACTAGTTTGAAAGTTACTTTTCTGGAAGCTGTGTGGGGCCAGCCCCCATTAAAAAAAGCTCGAGTTTCAGCCAATGAGCTTCAGCCCCTTGCCATTTGAGTGACAGCTAGCAAGACGCACGCACAGCAGAGCAAGAGAGCAAGCAATGATGTGGTGCACATATCAGCACGTGATGTAGTACATTTTCGGGGACCACTTTTGCCTTGTGAGCCTACTTTCATAACTACTGGCAAACAAGTGTACAAAAGTACTATGTTTGTTCCCCTCCAGAGTCCACCCTGCATCTTGTGCTACGTCTGCGTGGAGGCATCATCGAGCCATCTCTGAGACAGCTGGCCCAGAAGTACAACTGCGACAAAATGATCTGCCGCAAGTAAGTAGAGCCGAGTACAGTTACCTTAATGGTGTTAATCAATTGTTTTTACAAAATAGTTTTATGGTTGGAACTTGTCTTTACACACCCTTTATTTTTAGTTTACCATTAAGAAACCTAAATCCACATTTGAGATTGAGGTGATGGAAATGCAACATTCAGCAACTGCAGTAATGTTGCTGTGTACAAAGGAAAACGTGTTAAGTCCCTTTGATGTGAGTGTCCCCTTGAATGGTTGACTGGACAATGGACCAGTTAATTCCATTGTTTCACGTCAACCATATCCCATACATATTCAATTTTCATAGGTCTGAAAAGACTGGGTAGGTAATCAGTATAATGTATTGGTTTCAATTAACCAATTGGAGCGATAGCTGGCAGTGGCTTAGACCGCTGGACCACACAATATGGCCATTTCTGACCCTTTTTTGTGCTACAGGTGCTACGCTCGCCTCCATCCTCGTGCCGTCAACTGCCGCAAGAAGAAGTGTGGACACACCAACAACCTGCGCCCCAAGAAGAAGCTGAAGTAAACTGTTGGCTTGGTGCTTTCTGTGGGACATGCAGAACTGTTATGTTAAATAAACATTTAAAAAATGACATTGCCTGGCCTTGATGTTGTAATAATAATAATATGCCATTTAGCAGACGCTTTTATCCAAAGCGATTTAGTCATGTGTGCATACATTTTTACGTATGTAAAGTTAATCCACAATTGAAGGGTCTTAGAGGAAGGACTAAAGGATCAAATATTTTCTTGGGACACTGTTGAATTTGTTTTTGAAAGTCAGACCTTCATCAGGGCATGGACAGCTCAAAAAACATTAAGACAAATCAAGGTTACTCGCATACATACCGGTACTTGCATGTAACAAATTAATTGAACCAGCCCCAAAAGAAGCTGACAAAAGCACAATGGCTGTCTGAATACCTATACATGCGTTAGAAATAGCAGGCATTTTGGGTATGCGAAAAGGTTTAATTGTATGACCAAAAAAAAGTTATGCTTTAAATGCCAGGGTGACATCCCATTTTGGCTTTTAAGCTATACTGAACAAAAATAATGCAACAATTTTAAAGATTTACTGCGTTGTGTTCGACAACAGCTGAGGGGATGCACTGTATCAAAATGAACGAAAGGTGGGAATCAACGAAATTGCACATTAGTTGACGCAGTCTCAGTAGGTTGAGCCTAGTATGCTGATATTTGTTTACTGCATTCGTTTTTACTAAACAGTACGTACTGTTCTAAATAGTATGTAGTATGCAGTTTAGTAGGCAAGCCAGATTTGACACGGCCAACATGTTTGTGCTTGATGCACTTGTACTCAACAGCCTTGTAAATTACTTGTCGGTAGTTCATAAGATATTCTTAAACCAGGTGAATAGGAAAGTGCAGTAGACAAAATTGTATGACATTGAAAAGCATAGCTTGAGTGTTCAACTGGATGGAACATCTCTCCCAAATTAAAAAGATGAATTACTGGCAAGTGAAATATTGAGACCCCAAAGCTAAGGGAAATTCATAAAAACAATCTTAATGACTGATGTGCCTCAGTGTCAGTTGACATTAGAGAGATCTGTAGTTAATTGGCTACTATTCATCAAATACATAGCATTGAAAAATAAAATGACATTTTTGCGAAGTTTAATGTTGAATTGTATACAAATACTTGCACTACATTTATTTCCGCAATATCGGGTTCCTCATACAATGGAACTTCCATTTTCATTATTATAAACATAGGTTCCTCCTATGCAGAAAGTTAAGTAAAATCAGGCAAGTGTGATTAGTAAGGCCCTGTTTTAATACTGGAAAACATTAAATCCTTGATTACCTTCTTCCCTTGTTAAATGATAGGCAAATGCAACAAATATAAACCACCTGTCCATAATGTGAGATCAGTGAGTACAAGGATGATCATTTTTACAGTATTTGAAAGTGCTTGAACACGGACTTGGAGTAGAAAGCAGGTCGCTGAGGTATTTGAAGTATTAGTGGTGGTCAATAAGTAACTTGTGTCAAGTGTATTAAGAGGATAAGAACACTACAGACCCTACGCTCAATTTTAATTACAGAATAATTCCACAGGCATTCCAAGACAAAGTTGTATTCATTTTTTCCATTATCTAAAATGTATTGTCCAGTTAGTACAGATTTTGTGCTTCATCCAGTTATGTGGGTAAGAAAAGTGCATCTTTGGTACTGCATTTTGTATCGTTACTCCAGTTGAATGATCACATTTTATGTCAATGGTCTTCTCCAGAATGTTGGAGATGGGCTAGTAAAAGACCATGATGATATGACCATGTTCCCAAAAAATTAAGAATATAGGCATCATGAAGTACACAGAGCAGGGGGCACTTACTATCTTCACATTAATTATTGGATGAGTCAGTCAGTCACACTTTTAGGTAGGAACAGCAGTGACCACGTTTACATACATACCAATACCCCGTTATTAATCAGGATACTCAAGTATTCTGTTTTTGAGTTGACGCATATAAACATAATGTCCCGTTTACAATAACCCGAAAAAGCTTGTATCCCGGTTATGAGAAACCCTGATAAGATGCCTGAGATATGTTGATCTTCGACGGGATACTGTGGCATGTAAACATCTTATCCCGTTTAGGCCTACTGTTGTTTTTTGCGGTATGTGCAGGCTCAGTTTCGCATATCATGGGTGTTGTGTGATGTTTCATCTGATTGTCAAACAAATCACTTAAAAAAGTAGGCTGTGCAGTTCGATCCACCATCATTTGTTTTCCTGTACACCGTAGCCTACTGGACCGTATAGCCTACTTTCACCCCTAATTTAGATACGTTTCTGCTTTTAATTTCAGACATTTGGTAGGCCATTTGTTTGTCAACTATAGTTACATACATGCAGCTTCTCTTCTGTCATAACTTGTTGCCCTAGAAGACTAAATAAAGCAGTGCTCACTAGAATGTCTTACATCAATAAAATGAATGCATTAGTAATCTAGTTAACACCGATAAAGTTGTCTGTCTGGTTTGCGACCTGGGAGAAAACGCAATAACTCCAAAACAGTGGAAAGATTGTTCCTGTGCAAAATGTCATCAGTTTGACCGGTTTTAAGGAAATGAAACGCTGAGAAAACCATGAAAACGTTTCTGATAACACTTGCATATTTTATGTGGTTGAACTACTGTCTGCTTGCATAACAGTGTCAAAGAGAACATGTTACACGCACATTCACATTTTCTCAAGAGATGCTGAAAGAAAATCATATTTCTCCACCCCTGTTTACCGAGACAAAATTAACATTTGTTGTATAATTTTACTGCAAGAAATGCATAATTCTGCAGGAGTTCATATTATATTAGGCTACATGTGAAAGGTTATAGGCCTACAGTCAGTCCAGATTTCAGTTCCTATTCCATTTAGCCCATATGAACTTAAATTAGGAATATTCTGTTTATTCATAGAACAGGGATACTCGTGAGCAGGAGATCAAAGGTGCATGTAAACAGCTTATCCCGAATAAGACCTTAAGCAGGATATGAGCTACTTTCCGGAGTACTGTGCGCATGTAAACGTGGTCATTGTTCAACAGAATTCAGTTTGTCTACATGAACAAGAAAGTGCTTTGGTGATGTTACATTACCTACAGAGTACTTGTCAAAAAACTGTATTGCTAATTCAACACTGATTTAACCTTATTTGTACCTATATCACTAATACCAAGAAAAAATGCCTCAATGCCTAAGACAGAAGAGAATCTCGATGGTGTGCATCAGTGAAAGTTCAGATACCAAGTTAGCTTTGCATTGAATCAAGTACAGTAAATATTTACTAATAACACTACTTGTGCTTTTAAATCTATTTGTAAAAGGTTGCACATTGGGTAATGCGCATAACTCACATTACTGTACTTCGCAAGGTTCTTTGCTGAGCTCATGAAGTTGTCATTGAGTACCCTTTCTGTAGGATTATCAAATCATTATTATGTAAACTGTTAATATGATACAATACATAAAACAATAGAAGTAAACCTATTATTAATTGCTAATACTGACAAACGTAAACAATTTGGCACCTACATTTTTAAGTGCAAGCCTAGATTCAATTAAACTACTTTTAAAGTTAAAGATAACCTCTATAACAGCAGGTTGACTGACTCACAACATTTACATAAATGCTGTAAACGTCGACAGAACATTTCTCTCCCAGTAACGTGAAAATAGAAAAAAAAGAAGACTGCTCCCGCCCACCACCTTGAAAATAACAATGTACCGCTGCAACAGGTGGATCCACGGTTCTACTCTTAACCACTGTAATAATGTGCTTGAGCAAACATTGTTCCAAAAGAGCTAGCATCCTTTCCTTCCTTGTCCATCACCCTCTACAATCCTGTCATTACGTTGCGCTATTTGTCGATGAGCTTGGCCAAGCTCTGTCGCAGGTCATTCAGGTCGTAGATCTTGACGTCCAGGACGTCGATGACCCGCTGAACCTCGCTCTCCACTCTATCCCGCTCCTCCAGAGAGGAAGCCAGAGTCTGCTCGGCGCTCTCCACTCGTTGCTCAAGTTCTGCGTTCCGTGTCTCCAGATCCTAGAAGGTCCACAAGTGACACAGGACTTCAGATCAATTCACGTTAAAAAGGGTAAATGGGAAGATCTCAATTGCATACCCCTCGTATCCTCCTCAAAACTCATTGCATGAGAAAGCCAGAGGTCCCTCCCCTCTGACCATCTCCTCCAATGGATTTTGAGGAGGAGGCGAGTACAGAGGATGCAACTGAGATTCTCCCACTGTCATATCTTTAGTTTTTCCCCCTGTATTTTTTCAGACCCTTTGAAAACTCTGAGACCCCCAAGCGGTGCCCGCCCCCCGGCTGAGAATCACTGGTGTTCAGTATTGTTTCGAAAAGCCAAAAATGCATGTTCTGCCCCAATTCCTAAAACTCACCTGAAGTCGCTGAACTGCCTCTTCCCTCTCTTTCTCTAAATCATGGATATCTGAATTCTTGCTCTGTAGATTGTGGATTTCCTAAAAAAGACAAAGTATATTGAAAGCAGGTGCTTCCACATGTGTGGTTCCTGAGCAATTCCTAAGCAATTAACATCCCATCATGTATAAAAATGCTGGGTAGGCCCAGTTGTCCGTTATTTTGGCTACCACAGGATGACAATGCCCCCATCCACAGGGCATGAATGGTCACTGAATGGTTTGATGAGCATGAAAACAAATGGAAACCATATGCCATGGCCGTCTCTGTCACCAGATCTCAACCCAATTGAACACTTATGAGAGAATCTGGAGCGGCGCCTGAGACAGAGTTTTCCACCACCATCAACAAAACACCAAATGATGGAATTTCTTGTGGAAGAATGGTGTCACCTCCCTCCAATAGTTCCAGACACTTGTTGAATCTATGCCAAGGTGCATTGAAGGTGTTCTGGCTTGTGGCACAACACCCTATTAAGACACTTTATGTTGATGTTTCCTTTATTTCGGCAGTTACCTGTAGATATACAGTACATATAGCAATTTCCTTTGAACAAGAGGTGGAATTCAGAGTATGCTAAACACATCTACCAAGGAAATTTCCCCTTCCAGATGGGAAGTGCTCGAAAAATCTGTTTCTTGAGATTCTCAAGTGAAAACCTCAGCTTGTACCTCACTAGTTTCTTTCAACGGCGCTATCTAGACAGCCTAGAAGACTGGCATGTTGAGGCAAGCAGTACCTGGCTGCCTGGAAAGTGTGTCTGAGCCCCGGGTCTTACCTCATCTTTAGCTTTGAGCAAGGCTTCCAACTCCTCTAACGTCTGGGTCAGCTCATCCCTCGTCTCAGACTCACTGGGACCAGGCCGCCCGCTCTGAGCCTCCAGCTCTGCCACCTGCAAACACACAACACCAGAGAGAGAGAGAGAGACGGAGAGAATAACCCTCTAAATAAGGACTTTTTAAATCCTAGTATACATGCTATTACAGGCTTTGGTTTTTCCATTTATATTTTGAGGTTGGACGTTAGCATGTGGGGCGCACAGATTGGCGTCACCTCGTTAGTCAGTATGTGTTACACCTGTGTTGGTTTGTCATCTCGTTTGTGGGAAGGTGTTTCACCTGGGCTGGCCCAGGTAATATTAAAGAGTGGCTGGCCCAGTGCTCTAGTTGTCTTGAGAGATGTGGAGGGTTAACACCTTTAGTTGGCTCTCCCCATTTGATTTCTAAAAGAACAATCCTTTTCTGATCTTACCGGTTTTTATTTTGCTCCACTTCTTGGTTTGCTTCCTGTCTAAGTTTGGTTTGAGTAAAAATTTTGGTTGCCCGTTCTTGGGCAAATTTAGTGGAAGCTCATGGTGGGTGTCTTTTAGGTCCCAGTTGTTGTTGCTAGTCAACTTTCAGTGAACACCCCCATGAGTGTCTTTCAGAACCCCTCCTAAAACCCCCACCTGTTTCGTTTTGGTTGTTGTCAGTGACTGTCAGTTCCCCTTTCTATTTGAGCGACAATTTTTTAATGCCTGGCAACATAACAAAATGGGGGCTCATCCGGGATCTTGTTTCCCATGAGTATGGTCGTCGCTCTAATCACCTACTCTGAAGCTCTGCCCAGATATTTGAACGTTCAAAATACACTTTTGTGGTTGTTTCTGTCACTGACATCGACCCTGAGGGGTTATAAGACTGTTGGAATCATTTTGAAAGTTGCATAAACAGACAGGCTTATAAAATAAAAAACATGTACTTTAAGTTGGAAGCATTTGTGGAAAACCCTACATGGGAGATGCTAGATAAATGTAAAAAGGTGAATCTGCTCGTCATTGCAAAGCATAATGACATCGAAGTTGCACATGCCAATTCAAAAGTGGTAGTCAAAGGGTTAGTCTACAGTATATTGCTTTGGTGGAGGAGGAAATTCTTCCGGAGAAGGAGGATGATGAAAAGGGTCCTACGGGTGGTAGAGTACACCCCATAGAGATAGATATGGTAGAGTACACCCCATTGACATGCAACTGCGAGAGATAGAACTAAAGGCAAAATGGGAACAACAGAAATTAGAGCTAGAGCACAGGGAAAGACAAGATGTGCGTGTAGCCAAACAACAAGAACTTGAACATGCAGCCAGACAACAAGAACATGAGCATGCCATTCGACCAAGAGAGCTAGATCTGGAAACACTGAATCCAGTCAGGCCATCCTGCACCCTCAACAGAGTTTGGTCTTGGTCGGAACAGCCGGCTTGAACACATCACTGATAATCTGAAATGGTCTACCCACACATACAGTATGGTGAAGAAGGCGCAACAGCGCAGAAAAATTAGAGAAAGAAAAAGCAGTTTCTTCTTGTGAGAGCACTCCAGCCCATTAAGTCTCTGGTTGGGACTGGGGTATCTCCTAAACAAGATTTTGGATCAGATGTGTATGAACCCTTTGTTTCAGACGGGTTCATGTCTCTGCAGAGTGGCGATACTGTTAAGCAGCCAGTGAAAATACTGCGAGACACTGGGGCAGCACAGTCCTTCATTTTGGAGGGTATTTTGCCTTTGTCTGACACTTTAGCAACTGGTTACAGTGTGTTAGTACAAGGTGTGGAGACGGGTTGCATGGAGGTTCCTCTGTATAATGTGGAACTCGAGTCTGATCTTATTTCTGGTTCCGTTGTTGTTGGAGTGAGGCTTAGCTAGGGCTGTGGCGATCACCAAATTTTGTCAGCCGGTGATTGTCAAGCAAATAACGGTCGGTCTCATGGTAATTGACCGTTCATTAACATAAACACACTTAGCATCTCCTGGCTTCCACACATAGCCTACAAGCCACTGACGCAGACCTTTTGAACTTCTACATTTAAAAAAGTCTAATAAATCCATGTAATATAGCCTACACTATCACAATAAATCCATTATTTATTTTAGACAGGTCTAAAGAAGCATGATATGAAGAAAATGTAGTCTATTTCAGAAGAAAAGAATAGCGTACTCAGTTGTCCTTATGTTAGGTCGTGATGTGGCTATGCCAAATGGCTGTAGGCTACACTAGTTCATTTAGCAGACCAGATTTGCTTAGAATTCCGTGGCATTATTTTATAGTATGAAGAAACCAATTGAACAAAGCTGAATAAAATATACATATTTTCTCCAAACGATTTGAGAGTGAGCACATGCGGCTATTCTGTGTTGAGCGGTTAACAAAGAAATAGGTACTCCTATATGCTTAGAGTTATTAATGTAACTAGTTGTTCTACAAACGTTGGGCTACAAGTTTTGATTTTTAATACATTGTAAGGCTGCATGATGAGACGAATGCTTGAAAGGTTTTTTGCGCAGGCTTTACACACTTCAATAGTCTCTCATTCACAATTTGACAAGCACTTGATAATGCCTTGAATTTCAGGGCGGCATCCCCTTTGTGGCCATAATGCACCCACACAAAAAAAAAATGGCCCGGTGTGCTGCCCAATCCGGAGCGCCTCTCACTCACATGGCCCTCCATCACGTGATCGGGTCTTTTTCACAGGCTACAAGTGAAGACCGACACATCGGGGACGCAACTGTGCGCGTCCTTATCCAATTCCGAGGTGCATATAAGAAGATATTGGAAGAACTGTCCACATTTACTTTTTGTCAGCCAACAAAGATGAGTAGGCCTAACGAACAGCAAAAGCACTAGCCTATGTCAATCTACTATCCCCCATAGTACAAAAGTCGACTTATTCTATTCTGTGCGAGAAATAAATATTCCAAACACAGTCTGGGACAGTCGTGGGGTGCAATAGATCCCAAATTAATATAACCACTAGCATCCCCCCAAAAAATGTTACGCAATGTGGCTGACGCATCAGAACATTTAGCTTAAAAATGTTGATAAACAATTAGGCTATTTCTTCACATTATATGTGCAGCAATGCGCACATGGCAGTAGGCTATAAGCGCAAATGTTCCATTAGTGGTAAACACCATTATCAACAGTGACCGCAAATGTGATTATGCATTTAATGCTTTTATTATAAAAGGTGCATTTTTATGGTGAAAATGATCTTCCCCAAACTTGAAACTCACGCGCTGCTTATGTATGCCAGTTAGGCTCTAAACCCCTTGTAAAGCGGATTAATGTGCTTCATTTTAAGAAGTTATTTGGCCAATTTAGTTGTGATACAAACCTTATCAAAACATATAGGCCTAGCTAGGCTACATAATAATTATATAATAATAATAATAATAATAATAATAAGTCATTTAGCAGACGCTCTTATCCAGAGCGACTTACAGGAGCAATTAGGGTTAAGTGCCTTGCTCAAGGGCACCGACAGATTTTTCACCTAATCGGCTCGGGGATTAGAACCAGCGACCTTTCGGTTACTGGCACAACGCTCTTACCCACTAAGCTACCTGCCGCCCCTGTATGGGGTGTGATTAGAAAAAGTCGCAAAAAAAAGGCAGTTTCTTATGCTGGGCATTATTCCCAAGTGATTATATATCATTCACAAGTGATAGGCTAATACTGTCACCCATCAGACTATTCTTGATTTAATCTTGTCTTTACATATACAAAATAATACGTGTGTAAAATTTGTTTTGATTTAGAATGGACCATTATCATGCACCTGTCTCGAAACAGGGGCAGCGGGAAAAAATACATGTCATCTATGCACTTAAATAGTGCATAGCTTTTCCTGTGGTTCATTTTCATGCCAGCCAGGTAGGCTATACTCCTGTTGTAAAGATAAACAATGTGCTTAATATTAGGAAAGTTGAGGAATAAATATAGTAGGCCTAGTCTATAGAAAGCTGATGGGATCCTCCTCTTTTTAGTAGAGACCATCACTCTGTTTTCTCACACAATTGCATAGCCTATAGAAATGTTGCGCAACATGAGCTCATGGGCTCTCATGAAGTGTTTGATTAGATTTGACGACATTTGCATTTATGTCCGAGTGATTAGAGGGACAATAGAGTGATGAGTACCAGGCAGTTAGCAAGTTTGGTAGGCTACTAATGACCATCAACAGCATCAGAGATTGGAGAAGCCTAATTACCGTGACTAAATGGTCACGTGGAATTTGACTGCCTTCATGACTCGTGACCGCCGGTGTGGCGGTAATACGGTCACCGCAACAGCCCTAGGCTTAGCCTACCGGTGAAGGAGGTCTCGTTCATTTTGGGAAATGTAGAGTCAGACAAAGGCAAAACACCCTCCGAAAAGAAGGGCTGCCCCGCAGTATCTTCACGTTTATGGGTGATCCTTTGAAAACCCCCAAGGTGAGCAAGTTTGTAGGACCACTGAAGGAAGAGAGTGTTCCTAAAGTTGACACTTCGATGTCTAGGAAGCTGCTGATTGCTGAACAGAGTAAAGATGTTTCCCTCTCCCCTCTTTTTGCTGAGATACGTCCAGAGGAGGAGTTTGATGAAGTTCGTGTGGGTTACTTTGACAGAGATGGTGTTCTAATGAGGAAATGGCGTTCACGCGCCACTTCTGGGCAGGACGATTGGCCTAGTGTATCTCAAATTGTCGTTCCAGTTACACTTCGTGAGCCAACCTCAGTATCTCTTGTCGATGGTAGTATGGCAGGCCATCTTGGGGTCAACAAGACATACAGTGGGGAAAAAAAGTATTTAGTCAGCCACCAATTGTGCAAAAAAGATGAGAGAGGCCTGTAATTTTCATCATAGGTACACGGTGAGCAAAAATCCCAGAACCACACGGGGGGACCTAGTGAATGACCTGCAGAGAGCTGGGACCAAAGTAACAAAGCCTACCATCAGTAACACACTACGCCGCCAGGGACTCAAATCCTGCAGTGCCAGACGTGTCCCCCTGCTTAAGCCAGTACATGTCCAGGCCCGTCTGAAGTTTGCTAGAGTGCAATTGGATGATCCAGAAGAGGATTGGGAGAATGTCATAAGGTCAGATGAAACCAAAATAGAACTTTTTGGTAAAAACTCAACTCGTCGTGTTTGGAGGACAAAGAATGTTGAGTTGCATCCAAAGAACACCATACCTACTGTGAAGCATGGGGGTGGAAACATCATGCTTTGGGGCTGTTTTTCTGCAAAGGGACCAGGACGACTGATCCGTGTAAAGGAAAGAATGAATGGGGCCATGTATCGTGAGATTTTGAGTGAAAACCTCCTTCCATCAGCAAGGGCATTGAAGATGAAACGTGGCTGGGTCTTTCAGCATGACAATGATCCCAAACACACCTGTCACGATCGTTTAAAGATGAGAAGGACCAAGGCGCAGCGTGATATGCATTCATATTTATTTCACGAATAAACGCACAACCAAAACAACAAACGAAACGTGACGTCCAAGGTAGACAAATAACATACCTCACACGGAACAAGATCCCACAACTAACAGGTGTCAATAGGCTGCCTAAGTATGGTCCCCAATCAGAGACAACGAGCGACAGCTGCCTCTGATTGGGAACCACACAGGCCAACATAGATCTACACATCATAGATTCTATAACAATGACAAACCCAACACAGAAAATACATACCTTGACTCAACAAATACAAGTCCCTTGAGTCAGGGCGTGACAGTACCCCCCCCCCCCCCCCCAAAGGTGTGGACTCCGACCGCGCCACATAAACCTAACTGGGTAGGGGCCGGGTGGGCATTCCGCCTCGGAGGCGGATCCGGCTCCGGGTGTGACCACGACTTACTCTCCACCTCCCCGTTGCGCCCCTGGTCTGGTCTAGACCTTGGCGCGCTGCTTCCTCTCTCCTTCCTCCCACGAAGTACCACGGCCTGTCTGGACCCTGGTGTGGGAGACCCCGAACCTGGAGAGGGGCTGACGTCTGGGTCTGGGGTGGAGCCGCTGACCGGAACTGGATCAGGCACCGGTGGAGGGGACTGCTCAGGCTCCGGAGTGGAGCCGCTGACCGGAGCTGGACTGGACCCCGGTGGAGCGGATTGCTCTGGCTCCGGAGTGGAGCAGCTGACGGGTGCCGGACCAGGCACCGGTGGAACAGGCACGGGCCGTGCCGGACTGGACACACGCACCCCTGGCTTGGTTCGGGGAGCAGGAACGGGCCGGACTGGGCTTACGACGCGCACCACTGGCTTGGTGCGGGGAGCAGGAACGGGCCGTACCGGACTGGCGACGCACACCATTGGCTTGGTGCGAGGGACAGGAACAGGTCGGACCGGGCTGGCGACGCGCACTACTGGCTTGGTGCACGGGGCAGGAACAGGCCGGGCCGGGCTGGCGACGTGCACCACTTGATTGGTGCGAGGAGCGGGACTGGGTTCCTTCATTAACCCCCGCTCCTTCTGCTGCCTAACCAGCTCCTCTCGCCGTGCCTCTACACTTTCCTTCTGTTCCCTCTGAACCAATGACCCCCTTAATCTGGCGGCCTCCTCTGCAAAACAGCTGAACCGCTCTATTGCGGCTTCCTGCTGCCTCGTCGTCCACGGCGTGAGCCCCCCCCTAAAAATATTTTGGGCTTGTCTCTCCCCCGTGATCATGGCCTCCATCCCTCTTGCCAGACTCTCGCTCATCTCCTCCCAAGTCCATCCTCTCTCCTCGTCACGCTGCTTGATCCAGGATTGGTGGGATCTTCTGTCACGATCGTTTAAAGATGAGAAGGACCAAGGCGCAGCGTGATATGCATTCATATTTATTTCACGAATAAACGCACAACCAAAACAACAAACGAAACGTGACGTCCAAGGTAGACAAATAACATACCTCACACGGAACAAGATCCCACAACTAACAGGTGTCAAAAGTCTGCCTAAGTATGGTCCCCAATCAGAGACAACGAGCGACAGCTGCCTCTGATTGGGAACCACACAGGCCAACATAGATCTACACATCATAGATTCTATAACAATGACAAACCCAACACAGAAAATACACACCCTGACTCAACAAATACAAGTCCCTAGAGTCAGGGCGTGACAACACCGCCCGGGCAACGAAGGAGTGGCTTCGTAAGAAGCATTTCAAGGTCCTGGAGTGATAACTTTTGTTATTGATACTTATTTTCCACCATAATTTGCAAATAAATTCATTAGAAATCCTACAATGTGATTTTCTGGAGAAAACAAATCTCATTTTGTCTGTCATAGTTGACGTGTACCTATGATGAAAATTACAGGCCTCTCTCATCTTTTTAAGTGGGAGAACTTGCACAATTGGTGGCTGACTAAATACTTTTTTTCCCCACTGTATGACCGTATCTTGCGTAACGTCTTCTGGCCTGCTCTGAAACAGGATGTTGTGGCTTACTGTAAATACAGTCACGTTTGCCAGCGGACGGGTAAACCGAACCAAGCTGTGCCGGTTGCACCTTTGCAGACTATTCCTGCTTTTGAAGAACCTTTCAGCAGAGTTCTGCTGGATTGTGTTGGTCCTTTGCCCAACGCAAAGAGTGGTAATCAGTTTCTCTTGACGATCATGTGCGCTGCCATTAGTTTCCCTGAGGTCATTCATTCCACTGAGGAAAATCACGAGAGAAAACTTACTACGGATTTACAGGAATTTCCTTTTGAAAATCAGACATGTCCGTGGTAAGGACAACTTGGTTGCTGATTCTCTTTCAAGGGTGGGCAGTCGATACGTTTTGTGTTTGGCTCACAATTTATTTTGACTGCACGTTTTTCCGTATTGGAGATTCGTTTTTTTTATTGCCGGAGGGCTTTAACAATAAGGTATGATAATGTAGACACATTCATTTGACCTACTTTTATGTGTTTTGCAAATAAATTGTGACTCAAAGGTTTGAATTCCACATATTCTCATGTGGGGAGTGACAGTGATTAAAAGAGAGGACAAACCATTTACCCCTTGAAGTCTAAACTTTTTTACTTTTCCCCAATTATCTTCACTTTAACAACAGACAGGAACATGGCTCGAATCGTACAACAACAAAACAGACTTGTTTATTGAAAACTGACTGAAGTTTGCATGGGTTTGTGCTCAGCCTTCGCAATTACATGTCTCTCTTTGTTTCTCCTCCGCATCTTCAGAGTGAATTTCAAAGTGGCCCTTTAAGATTCCATGTCATGCCATCCATCGGAGCTTGAGAAAGCTGCTGTAAGGGTATCTAGCATTCCGATAGGACCCAACCCCATCCTGTCAAATCCATGTGACAGTAAGTCCCCAGGGGAATGTCCCCTTTCACACCACCGCTGACAAGTCTTACTGATGAGACCTGAAGCCAATCTAACCCCAACATACAGTACATGAAAATAGTCCTTTCTGAAATTCAAATTCTATCTCTAAAACAGTCATCAAATTGCCTTGCAGGAAAATGAATAGGAGCCCAAGTCGAATACATTATGGTGAAATTAGCTCAAAAGAGCTTGTATGAACAATGTTAGCATTTTGAGAGAACCAACAGATGGGATTTTAGAACAGAGTGTGCTCTACCATCCCTTGATTTGGTTTGTCTTTAAAAAGGACTTCCTCGCTTCGCTCCTACCGCATCTCAGCTACTGTCTACAGAAGTGCAAGGCAAGACATGAGAGAGCAGGCTGGGGACCAGAGCATCTCTGCAGTGTCAGAGATACCCGCGAAAATAAACCAACCCCTTCAGTAAAGCGTGTCTACTCCTTGGAGAGAGGAAAGGGCTTACTTTGAATGGTGGCATGGTAGAAAATCCTAGCCAATGGCTTCCCTTCTATCCCTCTGGTGATTTGTATTTTCCTCCCTAACTAGGGCAGGGGGAAATAGAGTGTCCTGTCCTCAAACTGCCTTACCGCCCCGCCAAGCCCTGCGGACATGGTCTACTTCCAACCACCTGGATGACTTTGTTGCAGAAGTGGATAACCGTAGCTTTTTTTGGACTGAGATGGATGTTATTCCCCTCAGTACCTGGAGCTAAAATAGGACTGTTGACAGCCAATTGTTTTTCGGCAGATGTTACGGTGGTACTTTAATCTGCCACATGAAATAACCTCATTAAGCTTGACCAAGGGCACATCTCTTTTTCCAATTAAGTTTAAGTTATGCAAAACACATTCTCCCTCTGATTATCGAAGGCACGTCAACAGTGATATATAACATTTATCATCAAACTGGTGGTCCGCAGCTCTGAATGTGCTGCATTTACCAAATGTCAGTATGGTCCTTTGACATAACCCAGGTTTAACTACCATGTGACCATTGATCTTCAGTAGATCTTCATATGCTGTTGCTTTGAGAATGGTCTCTCTCATGGTCAGGATCCCACTTCGACCACCAAAGTGGCAAAATCTAAGGGTTACCCACTGTGGTCTGTCACCATAGCTCTTACCTGATCTCGGAGCCTGCCAGTCTCCTCCTGATACTCGGCCAGCTGTTTCTTCCACTCCTCCACGCCAGTGTTAGCCTCGTGAAGCGCCGCCACTAGCTTAGCGTTGCTGTCCTGCAGGGTGAACAGCTCTGACTCCAGGTTAATCTCACATATGGACCTGGAGGAAAAAACAAATCAGAAGATAAGTGCACCATGATTAGACTAATCAGAAGTCATAGTCAGGTGCAAAGTACTGCTCACCAAGTGATATGCCAGAATGTGGGACCATTAGTCATTACATTGAATGGACAAGAGCTTTCAAATAATTTGAGGGAGATGGGAGAATTACACCAGTCTTCTAAGACCAGCATCTTCTAAAGTACTGAGGCCTCAGGCAAAAACACCCTCCATGCCATTTCTAACTGCCTGCCAACTACCAACCAACTCACCATGGCAACATGCACTAAAAAACATACAACCCTCATTACATGCAAGAAAAGGACAAGGAGGGGTTGTCAGAGAACATTGGGTTTAAAATTGTGTTTTGTGTGCTTGGGTGGGATGGAGGGCAGACTGGTGTCTGAATGGCTCTGTGGTAGAGCCTCATTAATGATCATGTTTTAACTACACATGACTCAGCCTCATACAGTCAGTGACCACCTGTCATTGGGTTCAACCTCCCACTCACAACAACCTCCACAATAGGGGAAACCATACCGCCTAGGGCCATGACTTAATTTAGCTAGTACATTTCCACAGATATATAGGAGTTATTATTATCTAATGGTTTGCTTTAAGCACTAATCTGCTTTCCTCTTGCCACGCATGCTCCTCCCTAAATGTAGTGGTGAGTTAAATTGTGTGCGACAGTCGCCTGGTCACATCATCCTATTAAGTGAGCGCAGCGTCCGTGTGACGTTCCATTCACTTAAGCATCATATATCCGATGTTCTAAAAAGGCCCCTGCCATTTTGATCACATTTATGCTTCGCATCATAAGCCACTGAACTGTTATCATCATTTGGCACGTTAGCGCAAACGCTGCCCCAGAAATCAGATGATGGGGAACACACACTATGCCTGGCGACACAATGTGATAGCTGCTCAGTGACTCCGTGGCAACCCAACAGTTGCATGACAACACCAGACAGTGGGAGACAATCGGCTACATTTACATTTTACATTTAAAATGTCACATTCTGGTGCAGGCAAATTTTAAAGGTTATTTGAAGACACCAATGTGACTTCACACCAATGGTGTGGCACATTATTACCATTTGGAGAAAGATAGTGTGTACTGTATGCTTTGCTTATACATGTTATTCACAATACATGGTCTACAGTATACAGTATATTTATTTAACCAGGAAGTCACACTGAGGTCAGAATACCTCTTTCCCAAGAGAGACCGAGCCACTGTAAAGAATGACCATGGTGGCACAATGAAAGTAGACCTGACCAAGAGCTTTTTGGATCTCATTGTGTAACTACAAGGTATGTGTTTGGAGAACTGCACTGTGCAGGGGGGCCTGTTCCATAACATTACCCTTCAGACAGCATCTTCTTAATGCGCTCCTTCTCTGACGTCAGCTGATCCATGTCGGCGCTCTTGCTGCGGAACAGCTTGTCCTCGGGTCCATTGACAGTCAGCAGCGGCGGCGAGTGGTGGTCCTCTGATAAGTCCTGGGGGACCACAGGGACATGATTAGTGACAGGATGGATATCATGGAAATGAGATACCGGACACCTCCAATCCTACTGCACGTCCAACTGTTCTTCGTTGACTGGACTCAATGAAGCTGACCACAACTACTCTACATTATGAAGGGCAGGGGTGGCCAACCAGCCTCCTGCAGAGCTACTGGGTATGCAGGTTTTTGCTCAAGCCCTTCTCTAACACACCTGATTCTACTAATTAGCTGCTCTGTAAGACTTTAAGGCTTAATTAGGTTACAGCATGAGGTGTGCAAAAGCCTGCATATCCCAGTGGCTCTCCAGAGGTGAGTTGGCCAACCCTGATATAGGGCGTCCTAGAGTTAACAGGCCTAAGGATTGGTTTAGACAAACCAGTGTTCACTTCAATACATTTTTTATAAAAATGTAATCTCTTGGTTAAAATTGTGGATGAATAAGTGATGTGTGCATCTCATGTGTCTTTCTGAACTAACACAGACCGCACATAAGGAACGCTCTCTGAGATCTGTCTATCTGATAAGTTGGTGTGCTTGTTACAGGAATTAAAGGGATACTTCGGGATTTTGGCAATGAGGCCTTTTATCAACTTCCCCAGAGTCAGATGAACTTGTGGATACCATTTTTATGTCTCTGTGTGCAGTTTGAAGGAAGTTGCTAACTAGCATTAGCGCAATGACTGGAAGTCTATGGGTATATGTTAGCATGGTAGCAGATACCCATAGACTTCCAGTCATTGCGCTAACGCTAGTTTGCATTGGCTCGCGAAACTACCTCTAACTTCCTTCATACTTGACACAGAGACATACAGATGGTATCCACGAATTCATCTGACTCAGGGGAAGTAGATAAAAAATCATGAAGTATCCCTTTAAGAAACCATGAATGCTTAAAATATATCCTACAGTATTACAATTACATTCAAATAATTTATTTTGATCTGAAATGGGAGCGGAATGACTATTCATTTCACACTGCATATTTCTATTTGTCATAGCTATTCCCCTGCCAATTAGAGCATTGAAATTCAGGGGCTGTACAATGTGACAGAAACAGGGCAGTAGATATTTATTGTTCTCGAGGGACATTCAAACCGTTTTTTAAAAATCCTGTATTAGTATTGTACCATTTCTGTTACCTGACAAAGATACATGGTTGAAACCTTAGCCCTCTTGTTAGCACAATAAAATGACAGGAAGAAGATGAAAGGCTGTCGCTATACATTGACACCTCATCCAAACAACAGGTTGCCAAAAGTAATTAGGTCATTCTCAACCACCATACAGATGTAGGATCTTAATTTGAGCCACTTTGTTACAGCAGGAAAATAATCCTGCAGCAACAAGAAATGTGAATTATTATGTGGCTTCTAATTATTGGACATTTTTGTAGGGGTTGATACGGGAAAATCAAGTCTGACATTTCAAAGTGGAAATGATAAACTTCAGAAGTTTTTAAAACTCAAATACATTACAAGTTTAAAATGTCCTGCATTGCAGGAACTTCTCCTGCAACAGGGTGATCAAATTCAGATCCTACATCTGTATCCGCAGCACAGGTTCAAAGTTGAACAGGCAACCATATGGGGCCACACAGCAGCTAAACACATTACTTTGTAGAGCATGAAGCAGCATATGGCCCTTTCCTTTTAACATGATTTATATTCGAAGGAACATTTGTCTGCCAGTGGATACTGAAGACAATTCTCTGTACTGTACAGTGCATTCGGAAAGCATTCAGAACCCTTGACTTTTACCACATTCTTTTATGTTACAGCCTTATTCTAAAATGGATTAAATAAACATTTTTCCCTCATCAATCTACACACAATAGCCCATAATGACAACGTGAAAACAGGTTTTTATAAATTTTTGCAAATGTATTTAACCTAAAAAACAGAAATGCCCTATTTACATAAGTATTCAGACCCTTTGCTATGACACTCGAAATTGAGCTCAAGTGCATTCTGTTTCCATTGATCATCCTTGAGATGTTTCTACAACTTGACTGGAGTCCAACTGTGGTAAATTCAATTGATTGAACATGATTTGGAAAGGCACACACCTGTCTATATAAGGTCCCACAGTTGACAGTGCATGTCAGAGCAAAAACCAAGCCATGAGGTCGAAGGAATTGTCCGTAGAGCTCCGAGACAAGATTGTGTCGGGGGCACAGATCTGGGAATGTCTGCAGCATTGAAGGTCCCCAAAAACACAGTGGCCTCCATCATTCCTAAATGGAAGAAGTTTGGAACCACCAAGACTCTCCCTAGAGCTGGCCGCCCGGCCAAACTGAACAATCGGGGTAGAAGGGCCTTGGTCAGGGAGGTGACCAAGAACCCGATGGTCACTCTGACAGAGCACCAGAGTTCCTCTGTGGAGATGGGAGAACCTTCCAGAAGGACAACCATCTCTGCAGCACTCCACCAAGCAGGCCTTTATGGTAGAGTGGCCAGACGGAAGCCACTCCTCAGTAAAAAGGCACATGGCAGCCCGCTTGGAGTTTTCCAAAAGGTACCTAAAGGACTCTCAGACCATGAGAAACAATATTATCTGGTCTGATGAAACCAAGATTGAACTCTTTGGCCTGAATGCCAAGTGTCACGTCTGGAGGAAACCTGGCACCATCCCTATGGTGAAGCATGGTGGTGGCAGCATCATGCTGTGGGGATGTTTTTAGCGGCAGGGACTGGGAGACTAGTCAGGATCAAGGGAAAGATGAACGGAGCAAAGTACAGAGAGATCCTTGATGAAAACCTGCTTCAGAGTGCTCAGGACCTCAGACTGGGGCGAAGGTTCACCTTACAACAGGACAACGACCCTAACCACACAGCCAAGACAACGCAGCAGTGGCTTCGGGACAAGTCTCTGAATGTCCTTGAGTGGCCCAGCCCGGACTTGAGCTCGATCTAACGTCTATGGAGAGACCTGAAAATATCTGCAGAGAAGAATGGGAGAAACTCCCCAAATACAGGTGTGCCAAGCTTGTAGCGTCATACCCAAGAAGACTCAAGACTGTAATCGCTGTCAAAGGTGCTTCAACCAAGTACTCAGTAAAGGGTCTGAATACTTATGTAAATGTGATATTTTTACATTTTATATTTTTTGTCATTTAGCAGACGCTCTTATCCAGAGCGACTTACAGTTAGTGAGTGAATACATTTTTCATGGACTTTAACTACCAATTGGATATCACGAAATTGGGGAGAAAAAGGGGTAAAAATAAATAAAAGTAATAATAATGGGCCTCAGGATTTCATTACAGTATTTTTGTGCATTCAAATTGCCATCGATAAAATGCAATTGTGTTTGTTGTCTGCAATTGTGTTCGTTGCCTGCCCATACCATAACCCCACCACCACGGGGCACTCTGTTCCCAACGTTGAAATCAGCAAACTGCTCACCCACACGCCGCCATACACGTGGTCTGCGGTTGTGAGGCCGGTTTGACGTACTGCCAAATTCTCTAAAACGATGTTGGAGGCGGCTTATGGTAGAGAAATGAACATTCAATTATCTGGCAACAGCTCTGGTAGACATTCCTGCAGTCAGCATGCCAATTGCACGCTCCCTCAAAACTTGAGACATCTATGGCATTGTGTTGTGTGACAAAACTGCACATTTTAGAGTGGCCTTTTATTGTTCCCAGCACAAGGTGCACCTGTGTAATGATCATGCTGTTTAATCAGCTTCTTGATATGCCCTGTCAGGTGGATGGATTATCTTGGCAAAGGAGAAATGCTCACTAACAGGGATGTAAACAAATTTGTGCCCAAAATTTGAGAGAAATAAGCTCTTTGTGCGTCTGGAAAATGTCTGTGATCATTTATTTCAGCTCATGAAACATGGGACCAACACTGTTGCATTTATATTTTTCTTCAGTATACTATGAGAAATGTCTAGCCCATTGAAGTTTGCTTGTTAGACCATCTTTGATGTCTCTTTTTGTGTTAGCAAGTTTGTGAAATCTTTTACCTCAACGTGGAGCTGATGATTAAAATCCAGCTAACGCCAAGCTCTGTGGCCAGATGGAAAACAATGTTATGACCATAACTAATGTTCCCTGAAGGAGGGAAACGAGGTACAACATACTATGGGGAGTCGCACTCTCGTGACTTCGGTTGAAGGATCTACAATCATGCCTGACAAGGCCAGTGAAATCCGCGCCTTGCTGGAAGCCCCGCCTTCCACAGGTGATAAGCATGAGGCTTGGATTCATTCCTTCAATTTAATACAGCTGTTCACCGAGCCCAGGAACGGGCAGCGCAGGTCCAAACAGGTGTTGTACCTTGTTTCCCTCCTTCAGGGAACAGTAGTTATAGTCATAACGTTATGTTCCCTTTCAGACAGTCAACTTCGGTACCACATACTGTGGGGAAATATAATCACGCCCCAAGCCGACCCTAACGGACACTAAATGAAAAACGACCCATGGCAGACCACCCGGACCTGACCGCGCCAGATGCAGCAGCCTGGGTATTGCGCACACAGCGCGCTGCCTAGTGACTGTCCCCTGTCCCAGCCGTAAGCACCCTGTTGGATAAACTGGGAGCAGTGACATCCAAGCGATAAAATGCCCAAGACGCTGCCAGACCCCTAGTGGAGTGGGCGCGTACACCGCTAGGTAACCCTTGCCAGCTTGATTAGCAAAACAGACAAAAAGCTGGTCACATACTGTAACCGGATATCCCGTGTTCATTAAATACACATGCATAAAGCTCGCACCAGACACAGGGTATGTAACCTTTGTTGCTCTTTAGAAGCAAAAGGAGGCGGCGAAAAGGGAAATAGCTCAAATGCTAAGGACCTGTAGGACATCGCCCTGAAAGTTATGGCTAAGGCCGCATTTGGACACAACGTCAACTTAGAGTCGCCAGGGCCAAACTTTTTATCTGCAAGTTCCATCAGGTAGCCTGATTTCAGATGTGTCCATGTAAACAGGATTATTAGGGAAATCATTCTTCTTGCAAAGCATGTAAACATTTAAAATCAAACTATTATATTAAATCTGACTATTCACAATAATCATATTATTGTGTGCATGTAACTGTACTTAGTGCCTCCAAAACCAGCGGCAAGTCCCATGTGGGCGCAATATATTTAGAGACCGGT